TATGTATGATATCCAGCTAATGTGTGTATGTATATAGCATGCAACAAGAAAGTTGGTATGTTTATTTTCACAGTTTATTCCATGTATACGTGTGTGTATATGTATATATGAATATATACAGACCTTCCTGGGAGAGAGCATCGAGAGCGTGGGTAGTGTCAGTAGAGAGGGTCTGTCTTCTTCTGGAATCGTCGTCGTCAAGCCGCCTCCTTTCAGCGCGAACAGCAGCCTTAATCCCATACCTCTCTCCCACCAGAAGCTCCCACCTAAAAATCTGGCTCAAGCTGTTCATCATCTCGTCCAGTTCCTCATCCTTCATATCCACCAGCGTGCTAGCCGTGAAACCCAGCTCGGCGATCTTCGCAGCGGTGAAGTACCTGATGCCGTAATCTTGAAAAAGCTCCTCTAGACCACCCAGCTCCCTCGGCCTCACTCCGTACGCCGCCTGCGTAGGCGCCGCAGCTACCGCCTCCAGCAACCTGACTGGCGCCTGCACTATTCCCCTCGTTGGGTCCCACTTGAACAAGCTGGAAGAAAAGCCGTCTGGATCCATTAAGCAATTCTCTATGTTTAGACACTTGTTTGAGGAAGAGTTGGCAAATTGTTGGCTGTTTGGGGTTTGCTAGCAGCTACTACTACTAATATAAAGACAGACTTTTTGGGATTCCAAAACTGCCCTTGCAGGATCAACTGGGTCGGGTATATATACATATATATATGTATATAATATGTGGAGGGGAGTGAAATCGAAGGGAGAGAAGAGGGAAGTAGTGGGTTTATGATGCTTTGTTGGGACTTTGACAGTTGGAGGAAGCAAAGGAGTCAGAAATCTATAGTTTGTTTGCAGGGACATTCTTTGAATTGGGGGGTCATGTGAATCCAGTTACCCACTCACATTTCGATACGTATGCATCTAAAATCATTAGCAATTTTACTTGTATCATCTATCATCTCTTATCTTCCTGCCAAATATATATATATATATTTCAAGAAAAATATATGAATTCTGAAACAATAATAATAATAAATGTTCATTATATTATATATTAATATATTGAGGTTCTGTAAAAGGGTGTTTCCGTGCCTGAAACTCTGGTGAAATCTGTAAACAGCAAAGCTTCATTTAAGACAGACAGGGTCGCGAAGGGCAATTCTGTAATTTCATACATTAACAAGCGTTGAAAATGACATTTCAAATAAATTATAATAAATAAAATCACTATTCCTTGACAAATATTACAAGAAAAATAAATTTTTTTTTAAAAAAAAAAAGTTGCAGACAAAGTACATAAAAGCCATCAGGTGTTCCAGTCAGTTGGGCT